TGGCCAGGGCAACTTCTTCTTCCTTCTCTTTCCTCCTCCTATATTCTTTATTTACTTATTTTATACTGTTAATTTTAATTTTATATTATTGTATCTCAGTGTATTTTTTGTATTTTTGTATTTATTGGTAATTTATTATGTTCTATTGTATTTCAATGTATCTTATTGTGTTGTAAGCCGCCCCGAGGCTTCGGCAAGGGGCGGCATAGAAATGTAATAATAATAATCATCATCATAATCATAATCATAATCATAATAGGCCATGCTGGCTGGGAATGATGGACATTTCAGTCCAAAACATCTGGAGGGCACCAGACTGAGGAAGGCTGATCCACACAGCTGACAAGCATCAAGCCAACTGTGTAGTGGAGCTATGATGTATAACTGGGTGACAGCAGTAGGTCCCACATAATCAGAGGGACCAATTTCAATCAGTGCGGACAGCTCTTTATCATTGGACTAAGGACTCAAGAGTTGGGGCTGATTGGCTTGTCCATGTGTTACTGTAACCAGGAATGAAAATAACTTTATAAATAAATGGTTCTTTCTTCTGCAAATAACACCTATGGGTTAAGTACTCTTTTGCAAGTTCTTAAACAACAAATGCATTGTGCAGTACCCCTCTCTTCCTTGCAAAATGTCCCTAGCATTCATCAACATTGATTTGCCCAGTGTCAGCTTTTTACACTGAGCTTTTTGTCAGGAAAAATGCAGAGGGAATAGCTCTCCAGAGACTTCTGTGTCTTAGTAACTTCAATATGCTCAAACTAATGTTAGCTCCATAATATATTAAAATATATTATTTTCCATGCTAACCACCTGGTCCCAATCTGGCATTGTGCCAGGAAGCAAATCTGTAAGGTCAGACACAATAGGAATTGTGCTGGGCAGTGTGACAGGTTGTGCTGTTGCACCACTGTTGCACATTTTTGAACTGGGCTTGCAAATTTGAATCAATTCTGCTGTACCACAACAACCAGCACCTCTAAAAGCAGCAGCATGCAAAGTTGTTATGGAACAAAAGACTAGAGGGTGTGCGGCAGGAGGAGGGACAGAGGCAGAATTAGAAAAGGAGGCAGGTAGTTCTCCAGCAAACATTTTTAACACAACTGGTATCTGAATGTACTGGGATGAGTTGTTAATCTGGTGTGCCACTCTGCCTCTTCAGGCCAGGAGTGCATGACTTGTGCTCCACCAAGGCAACCCCTACTGCCGATGCTCTCTCCTTTCTCCCCCAGAGGTCATCTCCTGCTTTTCCTGCCACTGCTGCCAGGGAGGAAATGGCAGTCTCCCTCGGGACTGCTGCAATGTGTCTGTGTGCCTGCATGTGCACTCAGCTGGTCTCCGGCCCTACGAGTAAGCAGGAGGCCCTCGGGGATGAAAAGGCTGTACCTGCTGCTTTAGGAGGAAGTTGAAGCCATTCCTCAGAGTCAGAAAAAGCACGAGCCTGGCCCTCCCTGGGCTCACCTGTCCTCCTGACTACTGTGCACATGCACAAACTCTTCTCCACATCAAAACCTCCTTGAGTGCACAAAGGAATAGCACACGGGGGAAAGGGCTTGGGTGCAGCCCCAGACCCTCCACACGCAGAGCATGTAAGGCGGGAGTGGGCGGCATGAGGGCGGTGTGCACCCTCTGAGTTGGCCAGTGCAGCCCGGCTCAGGGCCATGGCTTCTCCGTTCCTCAGCTCCCCTGCATTCCGCCATGAAGGGCATCCCGGCATTCCCTTTTCCAAGACTGCGGGAAAACAGGCGAGGGTGAAAATCCTCAAGTGCTCTGTTTCCTTGTGGAAATGGAGTGCTAGTAAAGAAGCTCTGTGCAACGAGAGTCAGCCCATGAGCCTTCCTTTTGCCAGGTCAACCGTTGCCCCCTTCTCACCATGGAAGTCTTCAGCTAGAGGATTTGTGTGCTCGTGTGCCCTGCTCCTAGAATGGTTCATGAGGTCCAACACAAGAATTCTGGATGCTTTCAGGATTAAATATTCTAAAATTAGCCCACTAACAAACTGTAGGTGATTGTTGGGTTAACTCAGAGGTTTTTAACCCCCAATGAGTTCCTTGGATTAGATGTCTCGAGGTGTCCTGGGGTTGCTTCATGGTATGGAAACGGCATGTGCAGCTGTGGATCATTAACTGCAAAATGCAGGGGCCCTATTCACTATTCCATCCATGGCGATGGAGCAGACAGATTCAGTACTGTGGTGGCAGCTATATAAGCAAGAGCCTGGCTGCCCAACACCTTGTTGTGAGTGGCTGTAAAGGGATTTCCAACCAGCATGTGCCCAAGCTGGAACTGTGGCTACATCCGCACTCTGCTGCTCCTACATGTTTCTATAGAAGTGGAAGAAGAAATGCAGCCACAGATGGGCACACAAATGAAAACCACTTGCTGCTGCAGAGTGTACAAAAGCTTAAAAACTTAAGCACAACACCACACCTCCCAGAACAGCCACAGAGGGTCACACAGGGTTGTCATGCTGTTGTGAACCCTCTAGAGAACTTTGGCTACTGGGGGTATAAAATAAGAATTATACCATACATACTTTTATTGATAAAATACAACTATATATATAGTTGTGTGTGTGTATAACTATAATAATCTTTTAATTGTTTTTGCATAGCTTAAGTGTAATAACTTCTCAGTGAGCCCTGACAGTGAGAATTTGCTGGCCAGGATGCAGACAATTCTCCATGATTTGTTCTTCATTCCTCCCCTGCCCCATTCACAGCAAAACCACTAAGCTAGTTTAAGTTTGCAGTATTGGTGCAACAGTAGCGGCAACCCAACCCAGCCTCTTTTCCCGCTCTCCCCATATCACGAGCATCGCAATCAAACCAGCCCTGTTGGTGGGACCAAAAACTCTTCAAGTTTAGTATGATGACTCTACTTTTTCTCTTATGGATGCAGTCGGATGGTTTTTCTTATTTTTTATTTCTCTGTAGCTTTTACCAGCTACATTAAGTATTGTCAGCATATTTACTTGACCATAATATTCTGACCCTGTTCAGTTAGCATTGGCTTATCTGTTTGCGTATGTGCAAGGCTTTGTGCATGCCCTAATTCTGCAAAGGCATAGAAACAGTGAAGCAGGATGGTGTCACATGAAGACAGCTGAGCTTCCTAAGCTAGAAACCTGCCCTGCTAATTGGAGAGATTCCTGCTGAAATCTCAAAAACTAGTGAGGGAGGAACAACAATTAAGGAAGATTCCTAGTGAGAAGAGGTCACACTTCAATGCGCTGCATGATTCTTTGCCCCCTCTGAAGACCCAAACCACCATCAGCTATACAAAAAGAGATAAACTAAGCAGATATGCCCAAATTGCACGATATGCCCAAGGGTTGCATGGTTCAGCACCCCTTGCACAGAATTCCGCATTCCCCTGCCTGCATGTGTGAGAAGAGCCCCCCTCCTGCCCCCAGCCCGGCTGGCTGGATCTTGGCACTCACCCGCCTACATCTGGTTTGCGAAGGAAGTGGGCCCACCTTGGACGTAGCCCCCTTGCTGGCCGTAGTCTCCCTGCTGTCCATAGCCCTGCTGGCTGTAATCGGGCTGGTAGCCGCCCTGCTGCCCGTATGTGTCCTGCTGTCCATAGCCTGGGGCCTGGTTGTAGGTATCGCCATAGGTGTCAGGCGCTGGGGGCTTCTCTTGGGCAGGCGGGTACTTCATGAAGGGTGCACTCCAGCCTGTCTCTTTGAACACGAACCACATGTTTCCCAGCCAGAGCACCAAGTTCAGGAAGCCAAAGACCTGGGGACCAAATGAAGACATGATGGAGAAAGAGCCCATGAATGCAGAGGGTGGCACCCTTTCCCCTTCCAGAGCAGTGCGATCTCATGGGTAGAAAATGGGAGACTATAAAGTAAGCATGATATGCAGTGAGCAACATCTACAGTCCTTTCCCAGTGGAGGTTTGGATGGTGGCGACAAGGAAGAGGGCCTTTATGGTGGTGGTCCCCATTAATAGAATGCTTTCCCAAACAAAGTCGGCCTGGTGCTAATACTGTCATCTTTTCAGCACCAGGTGGAGACTTTCCTCCATTCCTGGGCATCAACTGATTTGCTTATTATTGCTGCTGATGTTGCAGTTGTTTTATGGGTGGTCTTTTGTTTATAACTGTTTGAACTGTTTGCATGTTGTGCTTGCCTTTTGAGTCTGTTGTTGAGAGAGGTACCTAAGAGCTGCAACAACATGATGTTAGTGCTGCCTTCCCTATGCCATGTTGGCATTTGCGAGGGGGTGCCTGAAACCTGTGATTGCTCTCGGGTTGTTCTTGTGCTCAGCCAAAGTGCAGTTAGCCAAAAAGTGGCAGTGCCCGCCTCTCTGACTTGTTCACACCAAACCCGAGCAGAGTTGCAAATATGCAAGCTAGAGAACAAACATTTATCTTTGAAGTGGGACTTGTGGCTCTCCTCCGTTTGTGGCCCTTTGAAAAGGGGAGGCTCCTCTTCCAGCTTGCCATCTGCAGTCCTAGATGCTGCTGACTCAAGAATTTGTCAGAAGTCCCAAGCAAACCTTGCCCTATAAAGCAGGCATTTCCCAAGAAAACATTGCTCCTGATGAAATGGGCAATGTTTGTGGGTTGAGAGCATTTGTTAGCTCTGGCTCTTGGAGTGAGTTATCAAGGACTTGACAAGTAAGCACAATAGAATCCAATTAAAATTAAAGGAGCAGCCATTTAAAATGAACATGTGTCAGAATGATCCACCTATAGGATTGTATCCAGATTGGCCATTCCAGGAACAGAAGGGCTTTGTCTGTCCACAGAAGGAACTGGGATGTTCTGCTTCTCTGGAAAGTCCCTTCAGAGCAACTTTCAGGAACCACGGAGAGGCCTAAAAATGGAAAAGGAGGCCTAAAAATGAGGCCTCCTCCTCTCCCCCCCCTCCCCCTATCACAAGAGGAACTATGCAAAGCACAACTCTGGATCCAACTCACTGACTGGGTTCAAAGAACATAACTTACACTGAAGAGTCAAGTATTGGTTGATTGAGGGCTGTTGCCGAAACATGGGTTGTTTTGACTGAACCCAGCTAACCATGGTGAATAACACACACACTTCACAACCCAACAATAAACTCCCATCATGGGTTGTTTGTGGTTCACAAGCCATGGCTACTTAGCACATCTGGGTTCTGCCAACATGCTAGCCCCTGTTTCAGCAGCAACATACATTCAACCCTTTATCCTGGGTGACTGTGTTGTCTGAACTCAGTCAGTCTCTGTTAAGACACTGCACAGAGCATTGCTGAGCATGGTGTTCCCCTTTAAGAAGAGGAATTCTCAACAACCAAACCAACCATATGACTCCACCACCAAGGATGTAATGCCAACTGCAGCGGTTGTCCCTGCTCATCCCAGGACTGGCCTGACCTTAGACTGAGTAAGGCAGGCACCTCAGGGAGCAGGTAAGGCAGCAGTTACCTGGCCATTCAGTTCCGTTAGAGGCAGCCTGCTGTCCTCAGGTGAAGTGGAAGATGCCAACCCAGCACCAGTGTGGAAACATGATTCCTGCTGGAATGGAGTGGGGAGGCACCTGGCCTTTCTCTCCAGGCAGTAAATGGCTTGGGTGCGCTCACCCTCTGCAAGGGGACTTGCAGGGACACTCATGTGCCATCTGCCATATGATTCCCCACTCTGAGCTTAGCTGCAATTCTCAAAGTATCAGGGCAACAAGTTTCCTAGCAATAATACATTGTTCTCTGTTGTAATGAAATAGCGGCTTCTTTTTTAATGGGCAATGAAGATCCTTTGACTTTTGCAAAAGTCCTGCTCCTGGTGGAGACAGAATGTTCATCAGTACCTAGATATGGTTGTTTACAGGCTCTTTAGATGATGTATCAACGCTCCAGCTTCACTTCTGTGTCTAAGAGCACTTTTGACAAGCTGTTTGTAGAGCAGGAAAAGTGCTGTGTTAGTTAAAGCTAAAGAATATGCTTTTTTAATTTACATGTTTGCGCTATTCTGCTATACCACAGCGCCACCTCGAGGTTATACAACAGACAAGCAAGAAAGTAGTGCTTTTATCTCAGTTCTGTGAGAAAATCAGAAGGCAATGCAGTAGATTAGCAGCCATGTGCAGAAAAGCTCAAAACTGGTATCAGTGGCCCCTTGATATGAATTGACACAGCTGTCCAAATTCTGAACCCTGCATTGTGGGTGTGGCTATGGAGACTGTCATGATGAGCACCCACTTGCCAACAATTGCCACTACCTTACTGTGCCCATAGAATCACAGAATAGTAAAGTTGTAAGGGGCCATGAAGGCCAAAGGGTCCAACCCCCTGCTATTGCAGGACACCGATTTACACCATCCTACTTCCAAACCCTGGATCATTTTTGTTGCCCTCCTCTGGACCCTTTCTAATTTACCTGCATCTTTCTTAAACCTTGGTGCCTAGAACTGGACACAGTATTCCAGATGAGGTCTGACTAGTACACTGAGAGCAATGAGCAAATGATCGATCAAGGACATTTGTCCTCTGTCCCGATCCTTTGATCGATAATGCCCAGGGTGCCAGACCACCAGTCTGGAGGACAACTTTGCTTTTAAGTTGGCCAGCACAGCTGCTGACATGGGGTAAGAGGTAGCCCTTGGTCAAGCAGTATGTGCTTGGCTGGCATATCCTGACAGCTGCTGCTAAGGACATGAAACCCTCCTCCCCAGCTGCCCCCAGCAGCCACCACTTCCCCTCCACCCCTGTCTTATCCATTTCCCTGGCTGCGCTGGCCAATGGAAAGGCAACCTGGCAATCCTACAGGTGCTTCCACTGGGAAATACTGTGCTTGAGGAGACATGAACTGGGAAAGCTCTTGAATGTGGTGGTGAATCCGCCCAGAATGGCTGATTCCCATGCAAAGAAGAAGCCATTGCTCCTAGTCCTTCCCCGCCATCTCCAAGCAATGCCATCTCAGAGCTCATCCTAACACAGGGCATTCTTCTGGAAATGAGGGTAGATCACGGCAGCTATCTTAGGAAACCTCAAACTACTCTGAAGGCTAAACTTGAGCACTGGGAAAGCTCTTTCATCTTGAGAGCTGAAAAGGCCTTTTCTTCATGGAGAATCATTCCTTTTAGAATATTTTCCAGGGGCAGCATCCCAGTCAGCTGTGGGAGCCCAAAGTACCCGGGCTTAGGGAAATAAGACCTTTAAGAAGTTTCTTCTTGCACCAATGGAGGATTTTTAAAATCTTAAGTACCACATGTGGGGGCATTTGGGATGCCATTTTGTGGGTCCTGCTGCAGGGGAGAGAAAGGCTAACCCTGCAAGCAAACAAACACTCACACAGGACATTGAGGCTTTTAAAAAGTCTCCACTGGTACCACTGGGGAACAGGGCAGGGGCTGAAAGGGAAGGCTGTGGGTCCAGATGAGGAGGCCCTGGTGACTCACTCTGCTATAATTCCTTAAGCAATATCGCCATCAAATATCCCCATCAAATCGGCTGGACTTACATACAAGTAAATATTCAATAGGGTTAGAGTGTGTGACAATGTGGTGCCTTAATATGGTTGCTTTACATGCAGAATTGGAAAAATACTCAAGTCAATCCAAACAGTTAGACTATCTGACCAAAGTGGTTTCAGCAAAGCCAAGGAATCCAGCCAAGAAGTCAGAGGGAAAGATGCTAAACTTGGAACTTCTGGATCCTCAGATACTGGCAAGCATGTTGAGGAGGGCATCAAGTCCCACAGGACATGGCTATGGGTCAGACCCACGAACGGTGTCCCAGAATAGGTGCAATAACAAGCAGATTTAATTAAAACTGGCAGAAAGTGGGACCGAGTTTTTGTGTATCCATAAACAGTGTTTTCTGTGAAAACACCTATTGAGGAAGCAGGACATCAACAAGCACTCACTGCAGGCATAGATATGGAAGCCGGGACACATACCTTCCCTTCTAGAGTAACAGACACGCACGTGTGAAAGCAACGGGGTGAGGAAGGACACAGTGCAAACGCTCACAAAACACTGCATGCTAGCATCCGTGCATGCATGCTCCAACACATTCACAATTAATAGAAACAAAGATGGCTTTTAAAATATGTGTATACATAGGGAAATAGATATAAGGACTTCAACATGAGAATTTGAAAATGTGCCACTTGTAGATGGACAAGCTTATGTTGTGGTCGATTCCCTTGCATAGTCACACAACTACCAGGCAGCCCCCCAACCTAATAACTGAACTCTCTGTGCCACTGACACAAAGTTGCTGCAACTTATCAAAATGGGCTCTGCTGAATATTCAGTTCAAGCTCTGCAGTATGAAGCAGAATTAATGCTGCAGATCTGTGCGTATTTACTTGCGAGTAAAGCCTGTTGAATGCAGTGCACCTTAATTCTCAGTACATGAACCATTTACAGGCCCAAGAAATTCAAATGTAGAAATAAACATGCCAAAAATACAAAGAGTAGATCATGGTGGGGTAAAAGCACACGTGCACCGTGAACAACCATGCAGGGACAGTGGCAGTTGCACGATGCTCGAAAGCACACACCACAAAGTGCATGTATGAAGTGCACGTATACAGACACCCAGCTACACGCATGGTTTGGCAACGTCCTTTTCTGGCAGGTCGGAGGACTAACCACAGAGGTGTTGAGGCCAGAGGTGACTGGCTCCCGTACTTCCTCACATTTGACTCCTTTTGTCTCACACACTTCCATGTTTTTGAACACATTGTCAGGGTCAGTGGCCTCCTTGACATCAGACAGTCCCTTGGCCCAAGCACAGGAGCTCACCAACCACATGAAGGTGAAAACAGCCGTGATAACAAAATCCTGCAACAGGACAAAAGAAAAGCAATTACAGTTGTGGGTGTTCAAAGCTTGAAGGAGAAACCACTGGCTGGCTGGAGTGGATTGTTGCAATCTGCCAGTGCTTGGACTTGAGATCCAACAAGAACATCTCCAAGAGGAGAAGCAGGACCCCACAGTGTACCCCAGCACAGACCGGGAGTCTGGGGAGTCTGGGGAGTCAGCATTCCCTGAGGGAGAACCAGCCTCACCACCCCAGTGACACTCAGCCCAAGAAAGCTGCCATAGGAAGCAATCCAAGAAAGGAAGGATGGAAGGAAGCTGCTGTTGGGACCTGAACCCCAGACAGACTCAAAACCTCCAGCAAGAATAGCATGCCCATGCCAAACTCAGAACCAGAGGAGTGCCTGGTTAGCGAACCAAGGTTCCTAGAGCAAGGGGTAAGTTCTCTGGGAGCTTCAGATCAGGGTCTTGAGACCCCAACTGTAACAGCTCCCTGTTGAAGGGCCTCACACAGTTTGGACTATGTGGAGTCTGTTGGATATGTCCCTTGCTCATCCAGGCCTCCTGGTTAAGCCCCTTTCTAAAATTCCTGCTGGACAGCTCTCTGGCTGGTCCAGGCTTGTATTGAGTGTCTGCTTGTGCTGACACACAGCACAAGTTGAAGTGTGGTTTGAATGTGGGCTATTGTTGAATCATGGGTTGTTGTGTTGTGTGAATGCAGCTGAGATCACAAACCATGGTAAATAATCAACAGTTCCCATCTGAACCACAAGCCATGGGTTCTTTTCATGGATTGGATTGGTCATACTTAAAAGTTGTAGTCTGATAGCATGACTGGATTCACACAATGTGACAACCCATCATTCGACAACAACCCATCATTCAGTGATGACCTATACTGAGCCCATATTCAGCCCAATTTCCTCTTTGCACCCACAAAAAGATACCACTAGCAGAATGGACCTTCAGCATCATCACCCTCTGCAATCTCCAATCCTTGGAGCAGATTTGGAAGGTGAGAGAGGGGGGTTGCAGGGGAGAAGACAGGGCACCGATCTCCAGCTCCACCAGTGGTATCCGTTCCACTGGCACAATGGGCAAGTGGAATTCTGTCCAAAAACCTGCCATACTTCTCCAGGTTGGCAGCCCAGCCATGAAGATGCTGGAGGTCACTGGAGGTCAGTGAATGCATCCTTGCAATCTCACCTTGGCCATGAGCTCATTGGCAAGCCACCCAGGCTGGCTGCAAAAATTTATCCAAGCCCCGATAAACCCCCATTTCTCACCAGTGGCTGTATTCTGCCTGATGCCAAGGCAGTACATCAAATTTTTAAAAAAGAATGGAGCATGACTCCATCTATCTTCCTGGAATCCTACGATGACTTCACCTAGCCAGGTGTCCCCATATGTATTGAACTGCAGTTTTCAGACTCTCCCGGCCAGTGAGAGGATGCTGGGAGCTGTAGTCCAACAGAATTGGAGGGCATCAGGTTGGGGCAGGCTGCTGCAGAAAGTCTGCCTCATGCCCACCTGCCAAAAGACCCCTCATTCCCAGCATTTGTTGCCTTGAGTAACACCCAAGACCAGTCCCAAATGCCTGAATGCACGAGGAAGAAGATCCAAAGAAAATCCAATTCTTCCCTACACCACTCACTAACAATATAATATCCAGAACATGTCATTGTTCATCCATGGTGCGTGATGTTTGACATGGGCAATGGCCACCTGCCAAAGGGTAGCGCTGGCCCTAGAAAAAGATCTTCAATGTGCCTCCACTTACCCTCCATTGCTGCTACAGCCCCCCTAGCCTGGTACCCTCCAGCCCTTTTGGATTTTGGCTCCCATCAGCCCTAGCTAGCATGGCCAAGGATTAGGGTCAGGAATGGTGGGAACTGCAGTCTAAGACATCTAGAGAGCACCTGGCTGGGGAACGCCTCCGTGGAGGAAAATCAGAAAAGGATGGACACAATGCTAGCTGGTCATTTGGAAGTGTTAGGATTTCAGGGCTTAAACAGCCCTTGGCAATCCTATCATTATCACTGTTACAAATCATTACATTTATATCCCACCTTTTTTCCTTTAGCAAGGAAACACAGGGTAGCTTGCCTGATCCTCTTCCTCTCTGCTTTATCATCGCAACAGGCTTGTGAGGCGGGTTAGGCTAAGAAACAGGGACGGGCCCAAAACTACCCCGGGAGCTTCATGACCAAGGGGGGCCTGGCACCCAGATCTCCTGGGTCCAGCGCCCGCACCGCCACCCTGCTCTAGCGGCTACATCTCATGCAAATGTCACACCAGGCACTCACAATCATGGGGCCCTTGTTGTTCTCCCTGTATTTGTCCTGCATGAAGATATAAACGACGATGGCAGCAAGGGAGTAGAGGAAGGCGAAGACGGCGATGGTGACGAAGAATTCAGCAGAGGAGGAGCAGTCTCCAATCAAGAAAATCTTCCGGCGCTCAGACCCTTTACAAAGTGGGGCTTCAAAATATACCTGGTGGAGCCTGAGAAGGGGGAGAAGAGAGTGGGAGAAGGAAGAACAAGTGGTTGTTTGTATTCTTTTAATTCTACACCAACATAGTCCAAATGCTATGCTAAGAAACATGAAGTATTGCAATTTTTATATTTCTTGTTAATGAGAAGCAGGACTGAGGATTAGAAAATTTGATCAGTTGAGAGAGAATCTTTTCACTTTGCATTAGAAATTGGGGTCATGCAGTGGAACTGATGAACAATGCATTGAAGATAGACCAAAGGAAAATACAACTTCATCCACATGGGCAGCGAAGTATATATCTCATTTATGTAGTACCCACTGCCACATGACACAGCTGTTGATGTCTCTAAGAAAGGGGAACAGACATTTTCACAGAGGAATGTAGGCCATATTATCAAAAGGCTATGAACAATTATGGTATAGTGGAGCCTCCACATTCAGAAGCAGTGTACCCCTCAATGCCATGGATTAGTCACGCAGGAGGCTGCCTTTTACTGTGTCAGCCCTTAATCTATCTAGGCTAGTATCACTGACATTGACTGGCAGCCACGGCTCGCCACATTTCCAGTGGGTTTCCCCAGCCCTCCCTGGAGATGCCAAGCCTCCTGTATGCAAAGCACTGAGCCACTGGGAACAAGGCCATCGCCTTCACACCCCAGTTATGCGCTTTCTGACTTGACCACTTGTGGAAGGAGGATGCTGGCCCAGCTGGGCCTTTGATCTGCTGCAGCATATATCATACAACATATGATAGTTTGTTATAAACACTGAGCAACTGTGCAGGTGATCTGCTTCTCCGGCCTGACTTGTGCCAAGGTGCTGCAGCAGGAGCCAAAGTCCTGGCTGCTGCCTGGCTGGGGTTCTTCTCCCAAAACTTCCATGGATGGCTCAAGTGTTGCACGTGGCATGTAAGACATAACTGGAGAGGAACAGGAACTAGAATCCTGCCTTTTCTTTTAAAACAGAAAGCTAATTCTCAGGAAGTTCATCCTGCAGTGCCCTGCCGCTCTTCCGCACCACAGGCGCTTGGGACCTCAGTGCACGCACAGACAGCCCTGCTTTGCATTCTCAATGGATCCACCCATGGCAAGGCTGCGCTTTGCATCTCTGGTGATCCCAGGGAGACCGGCATAGGCAGTGCTTCTCTGATAAGGCAGTTTTAATGGATCACCAAGCAGGAGGGCGGCAAGCCAGCTAAGTGCATTTTTACTGATGAATCATTCAGATTTTAACCAGCCAAGTAATCTACTGCATCGATTTGGATAGCAGTGGGAACCATATTATCTGAAGAAGCACGTTTTATTATGTGCCAGGCCTGTGCCAGGTGTCCCCTCAGAAGCAGCATCCCCTTCTACAGGAAAGAAAAGGGAGAATGGCTGTTTCTATGCATGCTATTTGTGGCAAGCAGTGGGGATAACAACAAGAGCAACAACCCACCTCCTGTTAAGACTCTTGCATTCTTCAAGGCCACCTTTTGGAATGCAACTTGTCCCACACTTTGCCCTGAGTAATTCCCCCTGCCCATCCATGTGTGCCTCATTGTAACTGTCACAATGGAAAGCTGCATGGGTAAACCACGGGAATTGCTACCCTAAGCTGAAACGATGGCCCCCAACTTGGATGGCTTTAAAGGAAGAGTGGACAAATTTGTAGAAGGGAAGGCAGCCGGTGGCAACTAGTTGTGATGACTCTATGCTCCTTCCAGTACCAGAGGCAGTGGGCCTGCATACACCAGTTGCTGGGAAACATGGGAAACTCATGCCCTCCTTGTGGGATCCGGTGGGCAGCCAGCTGGCCATGATATGAGCAGGATGCTGTGCTAGATAGTCTGGTCCAGCATTCTTCTTACATTCTTGGCCCAACTCACCGGAAGGGATATGAGAACTGCACTTCTATATTGAGATCGCTTTCATTTTTGTTGGGGCAGTCGACACTTAGGCTGAATTCTCCAGAGTAGCTGCCACATGTTGCAAATGCAAAGATGGAAAAGAACTAGAGGATAAAATGAAAGCAAGAGGGAGGGGAGACAGAGAGAGAGAGAATGAATCTGAGTGTTCAGGGCAACACAGACCACAAATCTTTTAAAATGCATTTTATTCTGTTTATCTCTTGCTTTTCTATCAAACAACTGAAAATACCAATTGTTTAAAATCTCAATTGAACAGTACTTTTCAGTTTTGTACTTATAGGACTCTGCTCTGAATATGCAAGAAATTACATGGCTATGAAGTTTCAGTTGATACTATGGTTTACCACTGTTTAAGATCATCACACACCTGACACACATGGAAATATCATCTGCAGGAGAGAGATTAGCAGCATGTGAGATAGGAGGGAAGTGGCAGGTGGGAAGCCTAGAAACGCCCTCGCTGTCAGTCACACAGAAACCCACCAGTTTCAGAAGTGATTATATCAATGGCACAGAAGCAAGGATTTTTTAAAAATGCACAGCAAGCAAACACAAGTGAAACACTAGAGGCATGGCATGAAATCACACAGATTTCAAACATATTGGGTGGTCACATGTAAAAAAATGTATGCTTTTGAAATGAAGTGTCAAAAGGAATTAAAGATGTAGCCAAAGGTAAGCTCCCTTTAATTTTATGTAATTCTATGGCAGGGAGCTGTTGATGCTATACAATGGAAGCAAGATTCTAAATTTGTACCTAATATGCTACTTGCAGCACATCAGTTGTAGTTTCCAGTTGCTGGAAGCAACAAGGATTTCAAACAAGTAAGGAATGGCTTGGAAAAATGTGGCATAGAGAGTTCACACATAAATGTACATATTAGAAACACACATAGAATGGCTTAAGATTTGAGGTTCAGTGCAGTGACACGAACAGTGTTCAGCCCATACTATGGCAAAAATTGTTGCTGGAAATTATCTATTACATTATTGGAACTAAGCTTGAGGAAAGTGTTGGACAAAAGTTTCTGAAAAAAGTTTACTTTTCTTGAACATTCTCCTTTTATAGGTATACAGTATTAATTCTGTAAGGGGTATCCTTTGTTTAAAAAGAACATAGATTTATTTCATGCATGATCCTTTTATTACTCATCTAATGCCAATTGAATAAGGTGCTTACAATAGTCAGGCCAGCATGGTCAATGGGCATGATGGTTCGGATGATGGCAGGTGATGACCCAGCATCAGTACTTGGGTGGTATTGCTATTCTCATTACATGTCATTTATAAAGTCTGCCTCTTTTTCTCTTGTGAGGAGCCCATGGCAGCTTGCCAAGCTCCATTTTATCCACCCAACAACAACCCTGTGAGGTAGACTGGTCTGAGAGTAAGTGACTGGCCCAAGGTCACCCAGTGGGCATCATAGCCAAGTGGGGATGAGGGCCCCGAACTCCTTGGTCCCCAGTCCGGCACTTCCACCACCCCACCACACCGGCCCTCACAGGTGTGCTAGGCAAACAGTGGCTGCCGCCGAACTTTCAGTTCTCTTTCACACATGTATAGATCAGGGACAGGCAGCCTGGCATGCCTATAGTTGCAGATGTCCATTCTATGAATGGTCCTGTACATATGGTGAATCTGAAGCTGTTGAATTTTGGGCACATCATGAGAAGGCAAAAATTCTTAGAGAAGACAATTATTCTAGGGAAAGTTGAAGGCAGAAGAAGGAGAGGAAGACCAAATAGGAGAGGGATTGACTCCATAAAGGAAGCCACCACCTTGAATTACAAGAGCTGGGCAGAGCTGTCAAGGACAGGCCAGTGTGGGGGGCTTTTGTCCACGGGGTTGTCGTAAGTCAGGTAACATGGCAGCACACAACAACAAAAACACAGGGTTTTTTGGCATCCCAGAGATCCCAAGTTCCCAGAGTTGGGAATACAAAGGCTGGGAACCATGCCAGCAGCTCCCCCTGGTCACAAGTGGGCCTTGGAAAGGTGAAAGGGGACTTACTGAGGAGGGGAAGAGGCAAGAAGCTGAGGACCTGTGCCAAGTCCTGTAAGCGCCCCAGCCTCCTTGCCTCCCCTCCCTGGCACTTGATTTATTTCTTTGCTTATGGCCCAAACCATGCCTTGTTGCAAGCATAGGATGTGCCCAAGCCTCTGAGTTTGGAGGCTTGCATGTCCTGACGGCACAGGGCATCTTGTTGTGCCCCAAACACATCTAGCATCAGAGTAACAGAAACAATGGTCCTTCTATCACTGTTGTCGTTCCCGGTGGTGTCATGGTATAGGTGAGTTTAAAATGCAAAATTGCACGTATGCAGAGTATTTTGTTTTGTTTTAAGGCTGACAAGCAGGTTCGTTTGGGTTTTCCTTAGCCCCCTGACCCCATAATGTATCGAGAATTTAAAGGCATGGGAAGGGGGAGGCAGGGTGTTTAAAAGACTAATGTTAGTTCTGAGCTTCACAGCAGAACTTCTTGGTAGGACCATCTAAAGGTCCCCCATTAGACCATCAAGCCTGCACTTCCATCAGGCCTGACCCACAAGAAGGGTTGCTGAGGGCGATACGAAGACTCCCTACGTGGCTGGCTTTTCTTGAGCCAGCAGGGGGCACTGTCGGGAGCAAAAGAAGGTGTTTTTTTCCCGCTGCAGCCGCTGCCCTGACTTCTGGTGCTGTGAGCAGTAATCCCAGGTCTGGGGGTAGCAGCAGGGGCTGCGGGGAGGGGGGATTTTGGTTCACGGTCATCACGGATCAGCTGAGAACTCACAGTGCGATCATTGGTATTTTTAGAGCACAGCCTGCGCTCAGCGTAGAAAGAAACGGGCGGGGGGTGGGGGCGGGAAAGCCTTTTTCTCCCGTCTTTTAATCCTCTCCCTCCAGTGGCTGAGCAGGGACCAGATATTAACCCAGCCTGACCCACTTTGCCGTCTGTCATCTGATGGGCCTGCATCGGCGCCCTTTGCGTGGCTTGTGCTCATTCCAAAGTGCAGGAGAGGACCGAGGGGAACCAAAAAGAGATCCACAGTTTTAAGTGCAGCCCGACTTCAGTGGCTGACAAGATATTTTTCAGATCTGTGCCATCATTTAATCTTGTGAGGGGCTTGATCCTTTGTAATTAAGTGGCTTAGAAAGAGTAGAATGGTATAACTCTGTGGCCTGCAACAGCAGGCCTTCTTGGCTCCTTCCAACCCTATTATTCTATGATACTCTTTAATTAAAGAGAAAAGGCCCTCAGCCAGCTTTGAGAGCAGATGTCTGCAGACGGTGCAGCCAGAGGTCATCTGCTTCCTGGTAAAAAGCTCTGAGAACAGCACAGAAGCAGCTGTGCTCCACACAGGTGCTCCAGATTTTGCATACAAGTTAAAGGCACGTCTGGGCACTTTTTAAATCTCCGTGCAGATGTGCCTTTAGAGCAATTTTTGTAAAGCACACAAGATGGATTAAGAAGTGCTGATAAACCTGAGAGATAAAAGGATTCAGGGTTTATCTAAAGCCTGGCGGTGGCAGTGGGTGGATGTACTTCTCAGAAAGAGTGACCCAGGGAAGGGGGCCTTGGGATCGCGGTGTGCCCTCAGCTGCATGAAGCAGGGGGCTTCGGGTCGATTTGGTTCTGCTTGGGGAAGTGTTCATGCACTGGTGTGGGTAGGCTGCGGGAATCTGGAGCAACTGAGTCTCACCCTGGTCAGACACTAAGGTGCACTTCCTACTGTTACAGATGCTAAAAAGATTATGTTAGCGAAGTTTTCCCCCACTGTCTTCTTCAAGCTGCTTTCTTCTTGACTTGGCAGTGATCTGCCTATCTAGAAACAGGCACCAGCAGAAATGGTGATGGTGACACCAGGAAGAAAGGATGCTATGCTAGGGCTTGGGGGGGGGGGGGGGGGGGGGGGTCTTCTTTCCTATGAGGAGATAAAAGCCCTCAAACCTGAAATGGAATGATTGGAGATCATGGCCAGGTTTAGGGTTCAGTTCAAGTCAGGGATCTCTTTGTAGTTTCTCTGCTCTGCAAACATGTTCTTGGGGATGTTGGAGCAGGTTGTTCAGAAGGGGCAAGAGTGTTTAGGGTTCATAACACAAGGGCTGAAGTACCTGGATCAAACTTACCCATTAGGCCATTGTTTTGAAGCCGGCTTTCCCAGCTCAGTGCCCTCTGTAGGTGTTGGACTAAATTCCTACCATCCCAGCTAGCAGTAACCATGCTGGCAGGCTGATGGAAGCTGTAGTTTAAGACCTAAAGAGGGTGCTAAGTTGAGGATAGCTGGGAATGCTCCCAGCTCCTCATCCTGTGCTTTCACCAGAGAGGCCTTTTCTATCCTTCTATCAAGCTGGGTATGGGAAAGCTACCCTTTCTTTGTTCTTTTTAAAGGAGACATGGCAAGATCTTTTCCTCACTGTGGTTTGCTCTTCCTTTGTTTGCTTTCTCTAACTGAGCAGCCTCATGTATTATGGCTTGTCTGTGGCAGGACTTGACAACTCTTGATGGTTATTTTAGGACTTCGTGTATTGTTCTAATACAGACTTTCAGGCTGCAATCCCACAAACCAGGGCAGGAGCCAAGGGTAGGCAAGACTGGGCACTCACCAAGGACCACTTCCCAACAGCGCCCCCCCCCCCCGGTAAGAGCCCCCGGACGTCCCCTTCTTTGGGACTGCTGCAGCCTGCATCACTCTGCAGATGTCAATCCTAGTGCAATCCACCACCACCATAATCATAATCTCGCTCTTCAGTTTTCACTAGCATCCCAACATGACAACCTGAGACCCTCCCTAGCCAGAGGTTCTCCAGATGATTTAGGCTGGCAGGGGCACATGGGAGTTATAGTCTACAGCACCTGAGGAACACCAGCTGGGGAAAGCCACACTAAGTTTATCTGTAAGCAAATCAGTGTAAGTTGAGGCTATGGATTGTGGCTCCTTAATCACTGTTGGCCTTATTGAGTAAAAAATTATCCCAAGTTATTCCAGCCCCTGTTTGGGATCTAAAAAGGCTGGTTCTCACACTACTCTTGTTCCATATCATGCGCTTGTGGTTATGGTTAAGAACATGCTCCAAGTCACTGTGGTGCTTGCATTATCAAATATCCATCATGTGGCCATTCTAACGGGGCCGCTGGAGCAGCATCACCCACAAGAGTTGCTTCTAGGGCCCAGTTTAAAGCAGACCGGCAGTGTGGCAGCACGCTTGTGTCTCTGGTGCCCTGCATGTAGCAAAAGGGCTGGTCGGTCTGGGCACAGAATCCGGCACAAAGTGCTGGGCCACAGCAGGGCAACATATCCAGGATGCTGCCTGCCTTAGGCCCCCGACAGTGGAACTGATCGGTTATGGGCACAATCCTCCAGGAAATTCCCCCATGCAGACCCCATCCCCATGGACTTCAGCAACTTGCCTTCATTTCTGAGAGACAGGGCCCACAATCCCATGAGCTGTGCCTTCTGTTAATTAGGGGGCATTATTGAAATACTTTGGCCACCTAATGAGAAGGAAGGACTCACTGGAGAAGAGCCTAATGCTGGGAGCAATTGACAGCAAAAGAAGAAGGGGAAGGCAGAAATTGAGGTGGCTAGAAGGAGTCACAGAAGCAGTCGGCGTGAGCTTAAGTGGACTCCGGGGGATGGTGGAGGACAGGAGAGCATGGAGGAAGGTTGTCCATGGGGTCATGATGGGTCGGACGCGACTGTGCCAAACAACAACAAATTTTAATTCTCCATCCCAATCAGCAAAATATTTCTGCTCCTCACAAACTTTCCCTCCTCTCTGAGACTTTCCTTCCAGATTATGGATAATTTCTTGTTTTCGTGATTTCTGATGAGCATTCAGCTTACTGGGCCATCCCTGCCATGTGATGAGTGTGTGGTATAGTGGTTAGAGGGGCAGAAGAAAGCTAGGACATGCTCAGGAGGTGACCTTGAACCAATCACTCTGAGCTGCCTACCTCACAGAGTGGTTGCAGGAATAACATTTGGGATGGGACTAGAGAATCATGTATGCCACCTTGTGCACTTTGGAAGAAAGGTACATATGCATATATGTCAAATGGAAGGCAAAATCTGTCAGGGCATCTCTTGCATAAGCCTCATTGAAATGAGTGAGACCTGTGTGGCAGCAGACATTGGACTCTATGGGACTTGTGCAAGGGATATTCCTTACAGATCATGCTCAAGTTTTTCTTATTCCATAATACTTAGCTAGTTGTTTGTGGGGGGGGGGAGTATGACAGAGGGGTGCCAATACCCTCCAAAACATTGTTTTCAGTGACTCTGACAGCATATCCTAATGTTGACCCACTTTCCACAGATAAGGAGCATATTTATCAATGCTTTTGCCCACCTTGGGAGGAAAATAGTTCTTGCCCTTTCTAGAGAAAAAAAAATCCTGGAACTGCTACAGGACATGCATGTGAAAAACACACACGGGCGCATTCGCCACACATTCTGGGAAGGAAGGCTTTGAATTTCTTCAGGAAGGTTCTGGATTTGTTCAAAGGGAATTGAGATGCGCAGTGGAGGAACATGCTGCATCTCTAAGGTATAGGAGGGTGCTTTCTATAGGGCAATCCCCATCTAGCCATTCCAGATGTTGCTGGACTACCACTGCCCATGCAAGGGGGATGATGGGAATTGCCTTTCTGCTGATGCCACAGCAGTGCCTCCTTGCTCGCCTCTTGCCGAGTTGCTATAGTCACACTGGTGGGGACATGCAAATGTGTTCAGCTAATGGGAAAAACAACAGCCTGGCCTGTTTCTCTGCGGTTAGAGCCAGCTTGGCCCAGAAAGATCAGCCACTAGGGGCTGCTGTGCCTGTGGATGAGCTTTTGTGACGAGCCTGGGGGCTGGGTTGAAAAGCCGGTCAATAAAAGCTCTGAGCCCCCACCACTCCCTTTGCCTGCTCCCCCACCTCTCCCTCGCTGCTGCTGCTGCTGCTGGCAAGGGGCAGGCTGGGCTAGGCTGACTCTCTGTTATGACCAGCCAGATCCAGTTGGGGATATTCCCAGGGACGGGGAGTAGAATGAGTGCAGCAGAAAGGACCAGACCCTGGAAGATTGGAAGCTGCCTTGCCCTGAGTCAAAAGCGTGGCCACCTGGCCCAGTCCTGGGGATGCTGACTGCAGCTGGACTTTCTTCAGCCCTACCACAGGTGCTGGGATGGGGGCCCTGCCCTGCCCATCAAGCCACATCTTCTGAAGTGGTATTAAAGGTGAAGGAGCCCCTAACGAGGCCACCCTAACCAGGGCCCTCAAAACAGAGGCCACCTTCCCTGCTCATTTCCAACCTGGGCAGAGGGTGGCTGTGCTGGGGCCTTGGACTCACCCATTCTAGCAACTTCACAAAGCCCAGGGGCTCCTTGAAGACCCGGAACTGTCCAACGGCTACAAGCTGTGAAGAGAGAGAGGGAGAGGGAGAGACAGGGGGTGGGTTAGAAGTTCCTGGATCTTGTTGAATGTGCAGAGCTGGCACAGACCCTCTGGCGTAGTCCACAGGCCTCAGGCCTCAGTCTTTTAACTGGGGGTGCGAGAGACTGAGCTTGCGTCAGTGCATATTCACTCAGCTCCAGGCTCATTTCCTTCCCCTTCATGAAGCCCCAGACTGCTCTTGGGGCTGTGAAGAGATCACCACTCTTTCCAGCTTGGCTTCCCTTGGCTCTCTGCTCTAGTCAATCAGCACCCACTCCAGTGGACTCAGTCCAAAAGTTTTCCACAGCTAGTGGATAAAGAGCAGAGAAGGGCCTATTCCAGCCTTCCTCAGCCTGGCACTCCTGTCCCCTGGATGAAACACAGAACACAGAAACAGAGCGAGTCAGAAGGAGCCTCCCAGGCCATCTAGTCTGACTCTCAGCTCTGGCTCATGACATACCAATCATGTGCACATGGATGAGTTGGATTTCAAATCCCATCACCCCCAGCCAGTAACTGTGATGGCTTGGGAGTGATCAAGCTGCAGTGTAATACCTCTGGAAGGCATTATTTTGAAGAAGGGTGACTTACACCAGGACAATAATTAGCTACATTTGATTCTTCAGAAAAATTGAATCTGCTCCAGGAATCACACAGGGAACCTGGCAGAGAACAACAGGAGTCCAGCTGAACACGGAGCCTGACCCACCCTGCACCTAGAGTCGCCCTGCCTTCATCTGGAAGGCCTGGCCTGCTCAGAACAGCTCAAACAAACGAGTACACAAATTGTTCTGCTTATTGTGCTCCTTTCTGCTCTAACTGCTACCTCCTGCAGAATCTTATGTTAGTACTCAGAACGTAATCTAAAAAGCAATCTCAGAAAACAAACAAAAAACACAAAATTAAAGTCAATAAAGGAACAGCAGCTGAGGGGATGAGAGTAAAAACAACCACTCAGCAAAGATCCATAGCTTAGAAATTTCCAAATGCAGTGTCAGGTCATCCTATCATGTGCTACGAAATAAGCCCATAAAATAACACAAGCCAGCCCCGAGACCCAAATGTTAACGGAGAGAGGAGACAGGGCTTCTGCCCTATCACACTGGTCTTTTATCTTCCCGTCCCTTCATCAGGAGGAAGAGATGATTCCTTCCCATTCCCTGCATCAGATCTTCCCAGTTGCAGAGATGCAGCAGATTTAGCGGCTTTCATATGAGGTTCCCTCTGGCATGTCCACGTGAGTTTCTGGTCTGGGCCTTCATCTTTCCAATGACTCATGCAGAAATCCAGGAATCGGGGAGTCTGGGCTCCTCTTACAACACATACTAAAATCAATCCTGTTTCAGAAATTTGCCTCCAGGTTTCAGTTCAGCCATCAAAGGTTTCCAGAAACAAGCCCTCCCGATGGCTTCCATATGGCAAAACACCCTACTGTCCTAGATAGTCTCCCAAAGACCAAGGAGAAGCTAGATTTGCCCAAGACTTGAGGAGGAGGAGTGTGTGTGAAAGAGAGGAAGCCTGTACCAGGATGGGCAGAAGGTCCACCTGGATCTTCTTGCAGATATCCTGGAAATGCACAGAAGATCAGCAAGGATTCCTGATTCACAAATGTTTAACTATGGGTGCCCCAGGGTTACTCTTTCCCCCCATTCCTCTGGCCCTGCAACAAAGAAAACACAGGGATTTTAACAGTAATTTGTAATATTTCTGTATTTAAACCACTTAGAGATTTAGTTTTGTTAAGTGATATGAAAGTACCAACTCCTGGTACTCAAAGCCAATTACATGGTATACATGGCAGATGGTTTTCTTTTCTATGGCCAGCAGCAGAGAGCAGCAAGCCAGAAACTGGATTGAGACAACCTGCGCTTAAGGAGTGAGTGTGAGTTGAATATAGGTTGTCATTTTATTTTTTATTTGGTTATTTAAAACATTTTTATGCCGCCCCCATCGCAACAAAGCCTCGGGGCGGCTCACAACAAGTCATGTGTTGTTGCTGAATCATGGGTTGTTGTGTTATCTGAATCTAGCTCACATAATAAACCACAGTAAACAGCCCAACAACAAATCATGGGTTCTCTTCATGGATTGTTTGTGGTTAACAAGCCATGACTTGTTAGTGCACCTGGGTTAAGACAACACAATAACTCACATTTCAGCAACAACACATGGTTCAACAACCACCCAGGGTCAACTCAGTCTCAGTCCCTGAATGTAGGTTATCATGATGTCTGAACCCATTCAGAATATTTTCCAGGCTTCCAATGGTGGCAAAGGGGCCACTCCTGCTACAGAGCAATTTTAAAGTCTGTGTATATGTCACTGAACAATGGTAGAGCCAGCATGAGTGAAGCCACTTCTTGCAGGTTAAAGGTGGCCCCCTCAGAACACCTTACCCAAGAGTCTCCAAAACCTCCTGCAAGGCAATGACGTGCCTTGCAAATATCCATTAGCTGATGTCCTGTCATCTTGTATGCTCCAGCAATACAGTGTGGAATTTCCCTAATGCATCACATTTTAATTACAGTTCATGGTAGCTCATCGGCCCCAGATTCAAAGCACAGTCAGATCCCCTTAGCAAGACAATAACTGGAGGTTACTGGACTGGGAGCCAGCCTTTCAGTGCTCTGTCTAGTAAAGCTGGGTTCTGTCAGGTAGCCGCTATTGGTGCCCCAAAAGGTCAGATTCTATCTGACAGCTTGCATCCAGTGTTAGTCCTACATACAGCAAAGCCATTGAAGTGACTCAACTTAAGCTGCTATTGGGCTCGGTTTTATAGCTCCCAGGTTCCCTCGGAGCAAACCTGCTGAGCCTCTTTCAGCTTGGATGGGGCTGGGGGGAGGGGGTCCTTTCTGGAGATGTTCTCAAGGCTGCATTCCAAGGGGGGCAGGGCCAAAGGCAAAAGGGGTGGGGACAAGGATACCCCAGGTGGTCTAAGGTTTTTCCTTCTACGACCTATGTACCATGAGGAGTCATTTCAGTCTTTTAGGAGGAAGAAGAAGCTGCACAAAAGCCAGGAAACCACCAAATAATTTGTAGTTTGGGAAAGGGGGTGGGGCCAAGGGAAGGGGTGTGGCCTCCTAGAGAATCCCAGTGGGCTGGGTTAGAAATCCCTGGGGCCTTTGGCTCTTCACCCCTGCTCCAGGGTTAGTCCCTGACTGGTCCAGATTTTGCCCCAATTTTACCTGATCAGTGTCTGACCTCCCTTCCTGCAGTTGCTTCCATCAAAATTAAGGCAACCATACGAGCATCATCATGTGGCAAGCCCACCCTCATGGACCACAGAGCCTTCGCCTGTCAGCACATTCTGACTTCCAGGATGCCAAGATGTATTGCCAGCCTTGCACCTGTCGCAAAGCGGACCTTTTGCTCTTTTAATCCTGAGTGGTGCTTATCACCCTGAGAGCATGGAGAGTGCAGATAGGAGTAGACACACAGACAGCCAGTACTGGATTTGCAAATTAAGAGCTCTTTTATTTACTACAATATAGGGGTGAATCAGTCTCACTCACTCACACTAACATTCATCCTCTCATACTCACCAGGAAAACCCCACCTTGAGTAGATCAGTCTCAGATGGAGTGATGGGCGACCAAACGTCGCAGCGCTGATGAGTCTGGCCCACGCAGAAGCTCAGGAAGCCCTTCCTTTTTATTCCTTTATCTGAGCTTTTGGCTCTCTAGGGCAGAACTCACTGTCCAGTTTCATCCGGTTAATTGCTTCACTTCCCCTGGAATGCTCTTATCACAGGTTTTCTTTACATAAGGTATCCTACCCCTGTCAGCATTTCTCATCTGGGAACTCAGAGTCCATTCTATTCCCATCATGCTCCTTACCATTCTTTAGGTTTTCCCAGTTTCTTCACCTAAAATAGGCTCATTCATTCACTCAACACACACCTGGGACCTGCAGTGCCAGCCAGGAACATTTTAGGCTATAACCACTGATCTTGATGAAGTGAAGAAATGTTTCCTCTCAAAGCCTACAAAAGTAAGGCATGATAACCCTTTCAGATGAAGCTTCTCTTGGTGCTATTGTTTCCATAGAAGAAGCCATAAGTTCTCCAAAAGAAAGAACCCATCTGGCAATTTGCAAGACACAAAAATCCCTTCTACATCACAAAGCAAAAGCTGAGCCCCCTTCTATAAAATAAATTGACAATGCATAGCATTTTCACATGTTTAAAGCACTTCATGTCTATTATCTCAATTACCTATACAAGAACCTATACCTATACAAGATAGGCCAGTATCATTAACCACCACCACTCCCATTTCGGGTGGCTGGCTCAGCCACCTTCAGAGTCTATGGCTAAGCTGCTATTTGTACTTGGCCTCACAGGTTACATAGGAAGGAAATCCCTCTGTATTTTATTGGTTTACTCATGGGTAAGTCTGTGCTGGATTGCAGTCTTATCCACCACATCCTTCTTGTACCCTGAGATAGTTTGGTACAAGATTCCTCAACAAAGCACACATACACAGCTCCTTCTTCAAGCATACACATGCCCTACACACCCCAACAGAGGGGGATAGCCAAAAACTTCAAAGCAGCAATAGTGATGTTCATACAACAGCCCATTTCTCAGTCTCTACCCACAATCACTGCCACCCTCTACAAAGTCAGTACATTCAGTAACCCTATTACACAACCCTTCTCTTCCTTGCACTGAGGCACACAATTGAAAGCCCCATTCTAGGTATGACATACACATCCTTCCTTTGCACACCCACACAGAAGCAATGCGACACCGCTGCCTACGCACATCATCCAAGGCCTAAACTGTCCTCCAGCAGCCAGGCATTTTCCCCCTGCACCACAAAGCAAAACCTGTCTCCTTTTGCAAGCTAAGCCACTTCCTAGCACAATTGCAACCTGCACAGAAGCATGCCTGAACAAGAAAAGGGGCCCTCCTTCCTGGACATCATGGATAACATAGATTAAAATTCCCACCTTACTTCTAAGCATGCACTGAAAAATGGAGGCTTTCAGAGGTGGAGCAAGCTGCTCCCTCTCTCCCACAGCACATGAAGAGCTGAGCCAGGAGCACCAAGAACTTTGACAGCCGTGTGGTTGGCCCAGCTTTGCACTCAAGCAGCCAGCCCAGAAACTCTCCTCTGGGGGCAACAGACAACAATTCTGCACCTCGTCTCCTCATCAGAATCAGCACAGACAATCTATCCCTACCGCTGCAAAAAGTCCCACTGTTGAATCCAATGGGACTTACTCCCAGGAAAGTGTGTTTAGGATTGTATAGGATTGCAGGCTAAGATGCAGCTGAAGAACAGACTCATCAAAACCAGCAGTAAGAGGATCAGAGAGGTCCTGAGGCAAGAACTCACAACAGCAAAACAAACGATCATTATTAGTGGATCTCACCTCTTCATTTACTGAGAGAGATTGAGTGAGGCTGCAATTGTAAATGCATTTAGGGTGCAATCATCACCCTGTTCAAACCAATAAAATTCCTACAATGACAAATCAGGGAATTGCATGATTTTTTTTCTCTCTAAACATGCGAAGGATTGCACTCTTAGGTTGCAGTCCTAAACACACATATGTGGTAGAAAGTCCAGCTGAACTCAGTGGGGCTTACTCCTGAGAAGGTATGCATAGAAATGAGCTATAAGAAACAATGCAAAGGGACTGTTGGCATACCCAACTCTTCCTCCTTCTTTTTCCACAGTCACTGGAAAGGGTCTTCACACCTCTCTTGACACAAGAAACACCTGCAGCCTGTACACAAGCAACTTGACATCTCTGAACTCTCCTTTCTAGACCCTGCCTTGATTCAGCAGCTTCACACTTGCACCCAAGAACCTCCAGGCCTCCTCTGTCTCCAGTAGCTCCACTTTCATCCAACACTCATCATAAGGCAAGTAATTTCAGAGTGCTTCATCCAGAAATTGTTCCACCTTCCTGGAACATTAATTCCATCATTTGTGCTAAAATTATATGATATTGCACCTCCACCCCCAGACCAGCTGCTGGAATGGATTAGACGCACCCCCCCTCCGAAAGCAACACCCCTTCTCCTCTAAAGCCCTCCCTTCATCATGTATTCTGCTGCAATTGCTTTAGGGAGCTGGGGTTGCAAGATGCCCCAAGCAGCATCACCTCCTTGCCTGTCTTCCTGTTCCTATAAAGTGTTACTGCTGGACGGCATTGCTCCAAACCTATTTATTTAGGGAGAGCCATTCTGCTCCCTTCCTGCAGGAAATGCTGGAAAGAAAAGGACATAATTTCTGCAAATGATTCACTCCCCGATATCCCTTGCTCTGCTCCCCCTTTGCCTGAACACCTTGAAGTTATTCTGCAGCCATATTGACGCTTTCTGCTACCATCTGCTGCAACCAGTACGGATAAGCTTTTCTGTGCCAGCCCTCTCCATCCTCACATATCTCCGGGACCCCACTTCCTGCCTATCACCCCCAATCTGAACAGGAAGCAACCGCTTTTCCTCTGTTGGTTCAGTGTCGCCTCCCTCCCAGGAACACCTTCTAATGCAAAAAGGGGAGAACAAAATCTGTACAAATGGCTCCTTCTTCCAAAATCACCCTCTTTTTAATACGCCAGATCCTTTGCATTTCTCGCAGGGAGGGGGGCTGCCCCACTCCAGACAGTGTCTAGGACAGGCATAACTCTCTGTAATTAATCCCACCCCTTCAACATTGGGCCCCCCCTCCCTAAACACAGACTCCCCGCCTGTATTATTATGCACTGTTATTGACAAACATCAGGCAGGGATAGCAATCGCTATCATTCTCCGTCCCCGCACCGAGCTGCTAACTGGCTTTGAGCTAATAGTTGCCCAGTCTCCCCCGCTAATAGTGTGCCCCCCTCGCTCTTTTCCAACGTCCTTTGGCTCCCCCCAAAATAATGCTAGCTGCCGTTGCGTCGATTTGCTGCATTGCCCAGCCATTTTGGCCGGTGCATCAACGGACTCTCCCCCGCCCCCCAGTCTGCTGCAATGACTGAAGGAGGAATATTCTAGCTCGACGCCACCTCCGCCCCCCACTCAGCCGCTGGGATAGATGTTCATGTCCTCCGATAAAGTCTCCGGCGAGTAAAGACGGATGGGTGGTCTAGGAGGTCGCCCTCCAGCCATCCTTCCCTGTTAGCAATAATGATAATAAAAATGCTATACCTGGCTCTGCCCCCAGCCGCTCCCTTCCAATCTCCCCCGCTGCAACAATTTCACAGACACCCCACTTCTTGCACGCACACCCCGCGCGAGCAGCAGCGCGAGGAGCATTTGCAGCATCGCTGCAGGAGGAAATGCTGTGGGGTTCTCAGCCAGCTCCCCGCCGCCGCATTCAGCAGCTGTCAAACTGGCGCTCGCTCTCGCCTCCCTGAGCCCCATCGATTTCGGTGCACCCACTTCGTGACATCTCGCCGCCGTGCCCGGAATGGCACCTCTGTGCGGGGACAGGGCTAAGGTGGGGAACGGGCGCTGAGAGCTGCGGCGGGCAGCCTCCCTGGAAGGGCAGCAGAACGTGTGGCGAGCCTCGCTCTGCCGGGAGACGGGGTGCTGTCCCTGGTGTTGAAATCCTCGGCGCTTACCTGATTGACGACTTCCATCTTTGCTTGGGGAAAGCGAGGGCGACGCAGCAGAGCGCAGGGGAGGTTGGGGCCGGTGGGGGGGAGAGCTTTATCTGGAACAGCCAGGGGGCGGGGCCAAGGGCTGTGGGGGAGGGCAGGGCAGGGAGGCAAACAGCGGTGGGGGGCGAGCGGAAGAGCTGGGAGCGTGGACGTAAAAGGTGCTGGCGCCCGAAGCTGGGAGAGGAGCCATGTCCTTCCCTGGCAAAGGGAGCGCCGCACTTGAGTGGGAAATGGAGGCTGAGGCTGGGAGTGCTGAAAGCTGCCCCGTGCCCTCGCAGTGCCTCGGGGTTGCGTGTATTAGGCGACTGCAGCCCGTGCTAAGCAAAACACGCGCTGCAGGGTGCATTTATTTGTGTGCGCGCGATATTTTAGACATGGTAACAAATGTGAAATGGGCCTCTGTCCCCAAAGCTTATAACCTAAAATTTTGCACATGGGAGCAATGAGGCAGGTGCGGGGAGAAGGAGAAGTCCAGGAGAAGAATATTCAGGGGCCCACATGCCCACAGTTCTCAGGGTAAGATTTGCCCATAGGTTCTGCCACAGGCTATAAGAGACAATAACAATCATTCTAGGGGAAGTTGAAGACAGAAGACGAAAGCGAGGACCAAAGATGAGATGGGTGAATCTATAAAGGACCCCACAGCCTTGAAGTTGGGGGAGCTGGATGGAGCTGTCATGGACAGGAGACTTTTTGCAGGGCTTTCATTCATAGGAGCACCATAATTTGGAGACGACGTGATGACACATAACAACAAATATAATAACTGTTAGAAAGACAAATTTGAGTGTTTTTTGTTTGTTTTGTTTTGTGTTTATTAGGGTATAATCCTATGCATGCTTAGACAGAAAAAGGCTCCCAGCATTGCCCAGCCTAGGATTCATGAAGGATTGTGCCCTTCATGAATTACATACTGCTTGCTGTCTTAAGAATACTGCTAAGGAATTTAGAAAATCAAAAATTAAAACATTTCATAATAAATACAAATATGTGTCAGTTTAAATGTGTAAAAGCAAAGCAAAAAGCAAAATCATGGTGAAGCACACAAGTATGATGTACACAAAAGCACTGTCACTCAGGGAAAGCTTGGCTAAAGAGGTGGCACCCAAGATATGCCAGAGTGGCTACCTCCCAAATTTCAGTGGGGCATTTCAAAGAGTGGGTGCTACCTCAGAGAAGGCCTGATTTGGGGGAAATCTGCAGATGGCCAGTTGTACAAATCTGGGGAAAGTGATCTGTCAGATAACTGGTCCCAAATAATTCAAGGTAATAACTGCAGGGGCCAGGCATGCTCTTTCCAGGAAACAATGTAACTGATGAATCAAACCATCAGTTCCCATCAGCCCCAGCCAGCATGACCAATGCAAGGAGGTGTGATCTAAAACAAAAGGAGGCCATCAGGTTGGAGAAGACTAAACTAAGGGACAACAATTTTATTGGTCACAAAATAATCTCATAAATGATGTAGAGAAGTTTGCTTAAAGAATGAAAGATGGTGCTTGACCCCAGTTAAGATAAATGTACTTTACAACAACTTTACTAGGCCTTGTTTGTGGGATTTGTGGAGAGAAACACATTTTAGTGGAAATACTGTGTGCCTGCCTCTACTTAACCAGCTGTCACAGAGTGGGACTCTTTCTTCCAGCATGGGCCGGGGCTGGGGCCAGGGGAAAAGCCCGCAGTGGCAGGGAAAAACCAGTCCTTCCATCCACAGGTTCATCTGTACTATCAGGTGGAACAAGGTGGACACTCAGGCAGCAGGTTTGGAGTATCATGAAAATGAAGCCAATTTCTTTATTTTGCTGCCACTGTATTTTTTATCTCCAGGAATGAGAAGAGGAGCTTGCGAAATGTTGCCTCATGAACCAGGATAACTTGACTGGCCATTCCCTGCACTTCCCTTTTCCCAGAAGGCTGCAAGGTGAAGACAGTTCAGCCATGCCAGATGTCTGAATGGGTTCCTTGTAGAGGGCCTTTACAGCTAGATAGGGGACCACCTGTCCATCACTGGCCTACTGGGATGCGTCCTGAAGATATCCAGAGAAGTTCCTCTCAGAGCTTTGCTGTGTATAATGGAAACACAAGCATCTTACGCTTTACCAAACACTGTGGACACTTCTGATATTAGAAGCCAAGCAGGTGGTTGCCAGATTTAGGAAAACTGACATGATCCCTGGAGTACAGAAGGGTCTCTCTATCACTTGGGATAATTTGATAATAAAGAAACCTTCTCACTCACTTTACAAAAGACCAGGGCAACTTTCCCCCAAGATGTTTTCATTTCATAGTTTTGGAATAGCAACACAGCAAAAAAAAGATGAACTAAATATAGCTGCATTATATAGGTGTTAGGTCTAGGTTGGCCACTTTTTAGGGACTTGCAGATGAATTAGCCAAGGCAGAGATATTTGCATGAAAGTCGCACATGTTCATTTATATGCATAAATGCTAATTTAGGAATAATTATTCTAATTTAGTGCAAAGTCCTGTGGCCACATGATACCTGGGCCTGCATGCTGGGTTGGCCGTTCATTTTATTTTGTCTAACCTTATTTGGACAGGACAGCCCTTGAAATAAAGATGCCTTCAAGCAGAGAATGGTCCTCAGGCAGCCCTTGGAACAGAGAACCATCTTCTGCAAAACAGGACACCCAACCACCCTAAAAGAAAAGAAAAACCAGATGTTTCACTGTTGAAGAGTTTTTATATTCGTGATGAGTTTTGTTTCCTGTTTGCTTGCTTGCAACTTACTAGCATCTTTTTGGAGAAGACAATCTTTCTTTGCTGCTCATTTTGAACATCTCCACTGTAAACTAGGCTAATTCCTTGCTAGACTGATTCCTCACTACTATATGCAGTGTTGCTTAGTACTGTAATGTTCTTCCTGGGAGTGCTATAAAACAATAATGAAATGTTAACATTGAAATACAGAACATCCAAGTAATCAAGTCAATCTCCTTAAAGGCATAATCCACCTGGGTTGGAGGCTTACGTGCATCCAAAGCGCTGCGCAGGGGGCATGTCGGACTTTTCCATCTTGAGGAAGCACCCAGAGGAGAAGGGAGGGACACTGGGATGCTGTTTGGAGGATGCTAACTAGCTGTTCATCCACTGCATCTACTTTCCTGCTTCTTTGTGTGTTTGGTGCTTTCTTTCACTTTCACAGTCAAAAGCTGCATTTTCCCAGCTTCAAAACAAAAACGCCCTCTCACGGGAAGTGCTGGTTAGACACAAAACATTGGAAGGCCAGAATGTGAGGACCCATAAACAACTGTGAGTAGGGAACACAGAGCTTGTGATGAGTGGAGAAAAGCTTGCAGAAAATCCCAGAACCTAAGAGCCCACTTTATATTGCCCCCAGACTGGTCCATGTAACTGTATTATAGACCGATGGGCAGAAATGGGCTGCCTAGAATTGCAGGCAGGGAATTTTACCTATCCTGATCTGCAGGTGCCACGGGCTTGATCATGGACCCTGCTGCGTGTGAAGCAAGCACTCCGCCACTTTACTTCCACAACTCTGGATCACATACCCCAAAAATACTGGGAAAAAAGTTACCACAGTCCAAATTAGATGTAGTCTCTTGTACTAGAGAGTTTGTGTTCAGTATCTGACTACTGCTTGTGGTTCCTAAGGATTGGACACCAAACACACAAATAACAATGTGTATGAATGGTTTTAAAAAGGTGAACAGCAGCCATAGGAGAGGGCACGATCCAGAACATCTGGGACTTGGGAAGTAGGGGGACTTTAAACCTTTCCCCCTTGTTGTGGTCCCAATCCACATAAACCATTGATGGCCATTAATTTCAAGAGGTCAGTTAGACCTGAAATCTGTGGAGCTTTCAATTGCTTAATATTGATAGATCATGATTATACACTATTGGAGATACTAAAAAATTGCATGAACTCAAATACATTAAAATTTCTAAGAATCTAACCCACAGATTCCACAGCAGACTAGTTAATCTCATGTCATCCAGATTCCACAGACTTGTGGACCATTTATTTTCTGTAATTTTACATAAACTTAGTTGTAGAAAAATATAAAAAATTAAAAACTCCCACAAAAATGTGAATTTAAAAAATATGCTAAAACATGAAAATATGCATTTTGGGGGCCTTGCATATTTTAGAGGGATTTGCACACTTTTAGAACTGCAAATTTGCAGTAGTAAAATACTAAGTTTAAATATTGAAATATGCCCTGAGATCATGTTACTTTCACTATTTGATAAGAAACATTGGAGTTGAAATAATCAGGAATTTATAATAAATTTAATAACAGCTTCAAGATTAATCATAGCTAAGAATTGGAAAGTAAAATATGATTATCAATTATGTGATTGGTATAGATAAGTTTGGAATGTACCATTAACAATAAAAGCAGGTTGCTTACCTGTAACTGATGTTCTTCGAGTGGCCATCTGTGCAGTCACACATATGGGTTCTGCGCCTGCTCAGTGCCTATGGCCGGAAAATCGATAGCTAACGGTTTTGGCGGGAAACTCCCCTCCCCTCCCCCCCCATAGTATATATGGAGTGGAGTGTCTGCCATTTTTCAGTCTTTGATAGACCAGACGTTCGCTCTCTAGAGAAAAAAAAATTTAAACTAAGGAAAAAACGTTGTAAGTGCTGATGATAAGTTAAGAAATACGATGTAGGTACCGAAAAATAAAAAGCAGTATGGTACCGATAATAAGTTCCACCCATCGACACCGAGTGGGGCCAACGGGTGGGTTGTGTGACTGCACAGATGGCCACTCGAAGAACATCAGTTACAGGTAAGCAACCTGCTTTTCTTCGTTGTGGCTTCTGTGCATCACACATATGGGTAGATTAGCAAGCTTACCCTGACTGGAAGAGGGGAGGTGTCATCAATGAAGAGCAGCTGAAAGGATGGCTCTGCCAAAGGAACAGTCATGTCTCACACGGACATCCAGACGATAATGTTTAGCGAATGTGCATGGAGTGGCCCAAGTGGCCGCCCTACAGACATCGTCATTCGGGACCCCCGCT